TATAATTCTTATTTTCCTTTTCTTTCTCATACAAAAAGTATGTACTATATACCTGGTGTTGTATTTTGCTCCTTTTCACTTAATTGGACTGACATGTATTTTCATACTAGTGGACAAAAAACTTCATTATTTTATATAGTTGTCTGGTTTTTTACTAAACAAATGAGCATAGCATGATCTATATTCTCAGTCTCTATATTCTCTGAACTATTACCAAATATATTCTAATGTTATTATTGTACAATATCTTTTAATGTGATTGCAAATATAACTGTAAGATACATCTGGGAGTTGTTTGACCAAAGGGTAAATACATTTGATATTTAGATAAATATTCACAATCTATTTTTCTTTTTTTTTTGGTCTTTTTCTTTTTAATCGGTACCGATCGAACTCACGACTGCTTGCTTGCAAGGCAGGTGCTTATGCTGCTGAGCTAAATCCCCAGCCCTCACAATCTATTTTTCTCACTAGCAATATGTGAGATGACCTGTTTTTGTAAATATATCAACAATAAAGTATACAGTAACTCTTGGATTATGTTTATCTAAATTATAATAAAGTAATTATAATGTAGATTTAGTTGAATTTCTATTTTAATACTTATATTTAGGTTTTTTTTAAAGGCCACTTGTCTTCTTTAAATTATCTGGATTCCTTGCCAATTTTAACTTTTGGGGTGCTCAACTTCTAGGAACTCTTTTCCTAGGAACTCCCTATCAAAATGAAAAGCCTTTGTCTGTGACATGCCTGAAAGTATTTTTCCCCCAATTTGTCTTTCTTTTTCTCTAACAGAAATTTTTGTCTTGTTTTGTCCTTGTGCTGTTTGAGTCTTTTAAATAGCGCTGTTTTATAGCAGTGTATTCTGAAAGACATGCAATGTAAATCCCAAACGTAAGCTACATAATAATTTAAAGTATGTTAGAAGCAGCCTTTAAAAAGTAAAAAAGAAACAAGAGAAACTACTCATTGTAAATTTTTAAAGGGAAGAAAAATACAGAGAGAGCCGTTATTCCTCGAGGACTGGATATAAAATTGTGAGTTTCAGTGTCTCCATGCAAATCTGGCAGGTTTTGCTCTTCTGTCTTCTGGCAATGCATATTGCTGGGTGCCCAACTTAACCAAACTTCAACTTACAACTTTTCAGCGTCCTGGTAGTGTAATAATGATATGCATTCATTAAAAATCATACTTCGAATTTTGTTTTTTTCCTGGAATAGTGATATGGGGTATAACAGTTTGCTGACAGTAGGCTGAACATGGAAGGACTCTGAGCCAGGTTCGAAGCTGAGAGGAAGAGGCACAGCCAGATGAGAGCATCATAGTGGAGCGTCTGGGTTCTGGTGCAGCCAGAAAAGAGGGATTCCTCGAACAGTGAAGGTGGCAAGGTACGTAACCCCTGCTTTCATCCTTAGCAGTCTCCCCAGACAGCTAACAGAAGCTGAATTCATTACAGTATGAGAAAAAAAGAAAAAGAAAATGTTCATCATATACCACAAAAACCATACAGTAAATGGTAGTACATCCTTTTACAGAAAATTAAAAGTTCTCTAGAAAATGTTTACCACAAAACAGGTAAAAATATCTAACACTGCAAAGTAATTGTAAAAATTTGAGACAGTTTTTTTTTTTTTTTTGGTATGGGGATCAAACTGATGACTGTGTGCTTGCAAGGCAGGCGTTTATGCCGCTGAGCTAAATCCCCAGCTGCAATGTAAAAGTTTGAAACTAGGTGAAGCAGTCACAAGTCTCAGTGTAGATAATAAAGTAAGTACAAGCACTCGAGAAGATGTGAGCATAAGGTACAAAGATATGACACAGAAATTATTAAGATTAAAGAAGAAATTAGAAGATGGAGAAAGTTTACTCTAAATTAAAGAGTCAAGAATAAATAGCACCAAGAGGAAATAAAAACCATAATACGTGTCATCATTGATATAAGCTTAAAAAACACACAGGATAAAATAGAAATAAAAATGTAAATGATGTTAACAAAAAGTTTATAAAAGACAAGCAAACAAATCCAACCTGCTTACAGTTGGAGTTCCCAAAGAACAAACTCAATGAGATGTATTTTTAAAGACATAATTCAAGAAAAAAATTCCCTAAAATAAAGGAAAATTTGAATTCATATGTTAAAAGGGCACACTGGGTATTAAAGAAAATGGTCCCTGAAAAATAGTCAATGCTAAGATATTCCAATAAAATTATTATACCCAAATGATTAAAACTGTTTAGATGTTGGAGAAAAAGAAGAAGGAGGAGCTGGAGGAGGAGGAAAAGAAGAAAAAGAAAGGCAAGGAAGAGGATGAGAAAGAGGAAAAGGAGGAGGAGAAGAAGGAAGAGGGAAAAAGGGAGGGGAAGGAGAAAAAAGAGGAAGAAGGAAGAAAAATATACAGTCCAGTTAATTGGCATTATGAGTACTTCTCTACTTGTGATGGAGTTAATATGTGGACAAAACCATTAAAATGTCATAAGTCAAAGTGCATCTAATATGGCTAATCTGTCAAGCTTCATAGTTCAGCAACACAGTGTAATGCAGAATGACAGTTGCTAATCCTTGTTTCCGTCTCCCTGCTATTCTTAATGTTTTGTGTATTTTCCAAAACAAAATGTATGCAAGTGAGAATTGGGCTGCTGCTATGCTCCTCAGGGGGAATGATTTCTGACCTCAAAGAATTGTGCAATGGCATTTCAAGGGGACAAATAAACAAACAAGTAAATTTACATTAAACAGAATAAGTCTCTTTTCTGGTGGTGCACATGGCAGCAAAACATGACCAAGTTACTTTGGGGATTTAATTTGGAGGTAGTGTTGCCAATAGAGATTTCCTTTGTGAGTGAAATCAGTATAAATTAGAGAGATTTGATAGAATAACAGAATTATTTGTTATCTTTCTCTAGTGTCTTTGAATAGCAAAACTTTAATCCATCTTAGACATAAATTTTTGTATTTAGAATACAAGTTTGGTCCTTTTTTATGATCTTACTTGAGGATGATTTAACTTATAACATTCCCAAGTAGATTATTGGGGAGGAAAGGGTTTTTTCAAGGAAATAAGTATTAAACAAACAAACCCTAGTCATCCTCTACAGCAACATACTCACAATTGTTTCAGTGGTGGGGTATGTGCCGGCATGTTCAGGGACCTTGGGTCAATTTCCACCACTGGGAAAAAAAAGAATTTTCCTGTAGTAAGAAGATACTTTTCATATGGAAAATCATGGCCTTCACTCTAATTTGGAGTCATTTTCTAACAGTAATAGATGATGAATGGATTAATGACCTATGGTACATCTACATAATGGTTTATTATTCAGCACTAAGAAATGAGCTATGAAGCCACAGAAAGAAGTGGAAAAAACTTTTAAAAAACAGATTGCTAAATCAAAAAAGCTGATTTTCAAAGACTACCTACTATACGACACTTTGGAAAAAATAGTAAAAATTTCAGTGTCTGCCAGGAATTGGGGATGGGGAAAAGGAGAGAGGGATAGATTTACGGAGGACACAGATTTTGATAGTGTGATACTATTCTGTATTGTACAATCAGATGGGCATGCCATTATACACTTGCAAAATGTGTAGAATGTACAAAACAAAATAATGAAACCTAATGTCGACTATGAATTTTTGGTAATAATATTGTATTGATGTGGATGAATCTCTTATAACAAGTTTACTGTACTAGTACAAGGTGCTAATAATGGGAGAAAGTGTGTTTGTGGATACATGGAATCTGATAAACTTTTCTCATCCTAAAATAATACAAAAATAAGTATTTTAGGACTGGAGATGTAGCCCAGTGGTATAGCACCTGCCAGGCAAGTGCAAGGCTATGAATTCTATTTCCGGTACCACACACACACACAAAAGTATTTTGATGTTTAAAAAGAACTTTGGATTGTCTTAGAATTTGAGGAAGAATCTCTATACTATTTCTTCCTATTTACAGAGAAACTAGGTATAGGCAATGCAAAGAAAGAAAGAATAATACATCACAGCTATTTCCTCTGAGAGTCCAACGAAAGTTCTCTGCTTATCAGGGCACACGAGAGTCCCTGGAAATGCCAAAGAAGACTGGGGCCCAGGGAGGAAATGAGAGAGAAGTTTCTCTGCAAATAATGGAAAGAGACTCTTGATGTACAGGGTATGACAGAAAGAGGAGGAAGGCTGAGAACTCCAGAGAAAGATAAACAGCAAGTATTTTTATGCATGGGATGCTTAATATTGTGTAAATTTCAGTTGCTTTTGTTATTGTGATGTACAGTCTCTGAATCCTCAAATCTTCAGTAAGTCCGCTACATATTCAATGGTTTACAGGAATTATTTTTAGGAGAATTTTCACTTTATTTTTGATACTGGGGATTGAACTCAAGACCTTGCACTTGCCAGGCAGGAGCTTATGCCGCTGAGCTAACTTCCCAACTCTATTTTTAGGAGAATTTTATGAGTGTGGGTGGGAGACTGTGGAGAGGTGAGGAGAATAGGACATGGGCCTCAGATGAATTTAGAAGTTCAGCAGAAGCTGGGCAGCCAGAGAGACCATGAGGATATAAGCTCCTGAGATTTTACAGATATCTCAGGCAAAACACTGAATATCCCACTGAATGAGGGGCACAGCACAGTGAAACTTCTTACCAGTCTCAGGAGACACAGTGACTTTGGTTTACAGCTGGATCACATGTCTTAAAGGCATTGGGTTTCCAAGTTGAACTCTTTCTTCTTTTCAGGCAATGCCTTATCTCTTCATGTGAATATAGGTGAGTGGAAACAGCTACGGCTCCCTGCACTGTAAGTCTGACCACTGGGCTAACCTCAGCATGATCCAAAGGGGTAACATTATCCAGAGAGGGGAAGGCAATTAGCAACTGACAGTGAACAGTCATTTATGCCAGGCAATTATGGCAATTATGCCAGGCAGTGAACAGTCCTGCACAGTGTGACGGTGGCTCTATGACCGGAGCCGTGGGAGACAGGAGACCAAACTCGAGCAGGATCAGCTCTCAAACTTTATTACGTACAGCGAACCGGACCTGACAAGGTCCGCCACCCTCAACGTTGGTTCCTCTTCCGCCGTTGGGGGCAGGAACAACCTCTTATAAGGGGAAGCAGTATCCAATCACAGAGAAGCGCGCCTAACAAGCTGATAGGCTAGCGTCACGGGTAACTGGGCAGATATGACAATTTGGCGGGCTTGTTCAGGCCGGGAAGAACCCAGAAGCAGGAAATGGGCGCCATTCATAGGCGGCTTCCCACATCTCCCCCTTTTTTATTTATTAAAATAGGATGGTCTGTAGGTCCCTCCAAGGTGTCTATGACCTTGTTGCTGTTAGACACCTAGGAGTGGGCCTACCTTGTAGGCCGAGGCATGAGAGAATGTAGAGGTCTATACCCTGCTGTGCATCACCCTGTTTTGTGCATATCCTTGCACCAGGACCATGCTCAAGGTGAGTGGTTCATTTTTTCGCAGGGCCAGGCTTTTGTGAACCGAACCTGGATGCATATAGACATTCATTCCTGCCTTCCCCCCAACCTTTGGGGCGGATGGCACTGCAGTACCCTTGGTCTCGCATCTCAATGCCAATAATTTGACTCCGGGAGGGACCCCTGGCCTTATAGGCCATATATATCTGAGTGGAGCCTGTCTTAGGTTGACTGGGAGGGCTTTTCCCGTCTTACCCGTCATTGGCTTGCCCACTCAGCTCTTATAGCTGATGTTCTGCAATGTGAAGGAGATATGCGGCGGCCTGCTGGCCTGATGGGCCACCTGCTGCCATTTGCATGGCTGCCATAGCTGTGATCTTAACCTGCTGCTGAGTTTGTATGAGGCGATCTAACAAGCATTTAATAACCACAAGCCCTACTAGGATAGCCATGGCAATTAGCATAATCAAGGACTGTTTGATTGATGGTGTAAACCCTGGGTGAGGCGGGCGAGGCCGCCGAAAAAGGTGCCAATGTGGGCGGGTGGTGCCAAGGACCCCAAAGATATTGTGGTGGTTCTGTGGAATCTGAGCATATCACAGGGGTGATTAATAGGAACCCACAGAATAGAAAAAGCTCCAAACCAGACATTTTAGTTTGTAGATGGTCTCGGGCACTGAGCGTCGGTCCCAGAAGGGTCGAGTTGACTTGTGTCCGCGGGCTTATCTTCCTGTGCTTTATCAGGAACTGGTGGGGAGTTTACTGCTCGCGTCAATCTTTCCGGGACCCACAGCGGTTCGCAGCCTGGTTCCTGTGGGAAGACACAAACCGCACCTCGGGTCCAACTAACCACTGGATCCGGGCCCATCCATTGTCCTGTAAGGACATCTTCCATCTCACCAGCCCTTTGTCGGCCGGGGACGGGTTATTGTGCTCCATGGCAGGGGAATGATTATTGTGATTAAGATTTAAAAAATTTATGGTAAAGAGTGCCAATGATATTCTTCCTTTGGGCGTTAGGCCGTGGCCACCCAATTCACGGCACAGGCGTGTCCACTCTTCTAAGGACCTATTTTTGTTAGTTCTTAGGACATCACGGCACTCCTTAGTGCACTGTTCAAAAATCAATTGTTTTATGAGAGGGTGAGCCGCCTCAGCATCTGGAAAAATCCTGTTAGCGGCCTCAAGCATGCGGGCCACAAAGTCTGAAAATGGCTCTCCCTGCCCTTGTATAATTTTTGTAAGGTGACCCGTATGTTCTCCCTTTCCAGCCAGCCGTCTCCAGGCCTGGAGGCCACAGCGGCTAATTTGTTCATAAACCTGGCGAGGGTATTGAGTTTGATCTTCCTCAAAGGCTCCTCGCCCTAATAGCATATCCCTGTTCCACTCTCTCTGGTTATTTTCCCTGTTGGCTGCCGCCTGCTCTACACAGAATTCCTCATTCCAGGACTTCCAATCTAAATATTGTCTGGGGGAGAGGCAGGCGCGTGCCAGCTGGGTCCAATCTCCAGGAGTTAAAAGCAGACCTGCCAATGCCTCTAAAAGTGCCATGGTAAATGGCGCATTGGGCCCATAAGCTGAAACTGCGTCCTTGATAGCTTTAAGTTGTTTAATTTCTAAGGGCTCATAATATCCTCCTCCTCCCCTGCCTCCTACTTGTACCGGGAATGCATGGAGACCGGAACACTCAAAGGGAAGCCGCGACCATACCCTCTGGTGGAAGGAACGTCCTCCTCCCTCCCCAGATGGGGGCGCAGAAGGCAACCCAGGAAGTAGCTCTCCCTCTAACCAGGGCGGTGCCATAGGTTGTGGTGGCAGCCCAGGGAGCAACTCCTCTTCCGGCCACGGCGGTGCAGTGGGGCCTGGCGCCCTGAAGGGAGCGACCATGGGTCGCGAACTTGCCAAAGGGCGGAAGGGCTTAAGCTCTTCCCGTAAGGCGGAGTAGCTCGGGCAGGGTGGTGTTTGGTTCCCCTTTTTATCTTCCCGAGCCCTAAGTTCCTCTTTTAACGGTGTAGGAGGGTCATGCTTAGCAAAGACAACCTCCTCTTCTGAGCCTTCCAAATCCGAATCAGAATTAGAGCCCTGAGGGTCCTCCGGAGACCCACAATCGGCAGTGGCTCCGGGCTCCTCTGAGCATTCCGATCGAGCTCAAAAGCCTGTCGGGCTGTATTAGCGAAGCGAAAGCAAAACAGATGCAAAGGGAAAAGAAAAGAAAAAAAAAAACCGGCGTCCACTCGTGTGGCGCTCAAAATCTGTTAGGTGCGTCCACCCAACCCAGGTGACCCAGTATTCACCTGTCCCGGGAACCGCTGTATCTCACGTAGCTGATCAGGGTGAAGAGAAGAGGTGCTCGCGGCCTTCCGTTGTTATTGGGCCAGGTCCTCCGTCGTACCGCAGGTGACAGCAATTGCACCTCCCGGCCGAAGAGGCACGTCGCTGAGTCTTTTACCTTTTTCCCCGTACGGGCCACCAGATGACCGGAGCCGCGGGAGACAGGAGACCAAACTCGAGCAGGATCAGCTCTCAAACTTTATTACGTACAGCGAACCGGACCTGACAAGGTCCGCCACCCTCAACGTTGGTTCCTCTTCCGCCGTTGGGGGCAGGAACAACCTCTTATAAGGGGAAGCAGTATCCAATCACAGAGAAGCGCGCCTAACAAGCTGATAGGCTAGCGTCACGGGTAACTGGGCAGATATGACAATTTGGCGGGCTTGTTCAGGCCGGGAAGAACCCGGAAGCAGGAAATGGGCGCCATTCATAGGCGGCTTCCCACAGCTCTATAACAGATATATGTCTGTAGACCATTTAATCCTACCATCTACTGTGCAGGTTAGAAAACTGAAGCTCCAGGTTCAGTTTTCATAAAGTCAGTTCAAATTCAAGTTAATAAAAAACAACAGCTCTGCTCTTAACTTCGAATAAAATGGCAATGAAAGATTTGTCAAGTCTCACTGGCTTCATTTTCCGAGAAAAGAACATGTTCGTCCATTTGCATAGACAGACAGTCTTCTTGGAAAACAATTACAGGCTTCGTGGCAGTTCTGATAGGCCTAAGCTGGGACACAAAAATAATTCTGAGGTTTGAACTGCAGATGAACTTCACATATTTTTAGCAGGCCTTTGTAGATATTTAGTGGAGCCTATTACTGTTTTCGATTAAGAATGGAATTTCAATTGAAAGTTGAATGTTTGAAACATATTATCATAACTTTTCCTCTTTCCCAGCTCCCACTCCCTGTTTTTTGCTCAGGAAACCTTAGAGGTGGATTCTAAGGGCTACTTGGCCAGGGCCACTTGTCCAGTAGAGGAGTGGTGTGAACGGCTCTGGCAGCAGTGTGCCGGTCTTCTGGCCATCTCTCTGAAAACTCCCAGATGTCTCTGAAATACACAGACGTGTTTCATATGGATCAACTGGCTCAGGCTGGAGAGAAGTTGTCAGTAAAAGTGACAGCTTGTAATTTCCTCTTCCTTTTCATTTTGAAATGTGCAACTAGCTTATTTAAGCCACTAGTAGGACCCTCCAGATCTGAACTTTTGAAGAAAATCACAGTTTACTTCCCTTTCCCTGATTTCAAGAGTAATTGTACCTTCCTTAATGATGATGCTTTTTTCCCCCAAGGCCCTGTTTACCACTAGTTCTGTCTTACACATCATCTTCGCAGTGAAGTGTTTCTACTAGTCTTTTCACTTTAGGTAGATAGAATTTGTCATCTCACTGACATGTAACAATAGGCACTAGGTTGTGGTATAGAAGGATACAGAAAATTAGATTCTCTGGGTAGAAAAGTTTTACTCTGAAAGTCATAAGATGATCACACTTTGTGTGGGCACATACATACACACACACAGTGGCAGTCCCAAGTTAAAACAAATTAGGCAATTGCTTGTACTGGATCCTGTTTCACTTGAGAACATTTATGTGTCCATGTCTTGTACAATAGAATACTATAGAAATGCTTAGTTTTTGATTGTTTCCTATGGGTATGGATGTTTCACTCACATGACCACAATTTTGCTGAGTTTTTCAATTGTTTTTAAAGATTTGGAAATTTTTCACTTGCATAATTCATTTAAAATCAACATTAAAATCTATTTAAAATAAACCAGCAATTGTTTAAACAAAGTATTTATTTTTTTAAAACAAAATGGGGTGTCTCATAACTGTGCCTACCCTCCAGTCACTGTTTCTTCAATTCTATCCTACCGGAATGTGAGGAATGCAGTTCATCACTTCTCTAACACCTCTCTTGCCCTAGAGAAGCTGATTCACCACCACAGATGTTGGAACTCTGTGATGAAAATGTAAGAGCAGGTTTATAAACATTCAATGAAAGGAGGCTGTCTACAGTTGGTAATTTAAAATCAATTGTAAAGATATGGCTATTAGAATAAAAGTTGATATGGAAATAAACATTCATAAGCATGATACACATTATGAGAAAAGGCAATAAAAACAAGCAAAAGAAAATTGTGTTTCTAGATAACATGACCGCATAGACAATCTCAAAGGACTGTCAAAAACATCTCCTGGACTAACTAGTGTTTATAGCAAGTCTGAATACACACAATTAATCTACAAAAATCAAGTGCTTTTCTATATATGAATAATGAGCAGCTGGAAATTAAAGGTAAAGCAAAATATCATTCACATTATCTCCACAAGAAGTAATCTCAGATATATACTTAAATTGATGCCATAATACTAATTACCAACTGTGCAAAAGATATGCATGAGAAAAATCATGAAATTCTGATGAAAGAAATTAAAGACGCTCTAAATAAATGAAGAGATACGCCATACTAATTGATGAGTCAGTTCTTTCCAACCTGATCTATGGATCCAACACAATCCTAATCAGAATTCCTGCTAATTGTTAGGTGAATTTTGACAAATTGATTCTGAAGTTTATACAGAGAAGCAAAACAGCAGATCTAGTGAACACATGACTAAAGAAGAACACGGTTGTAGGACCAATGCCACCAACTTCAAGGCTAAGTAAAAGCTACTGTAATAACCAGGGTGAAAGAATAGACATATAGGTCAGTAAAACAGAATGGAGTGCTCAGGAAGATCCTACACAAATAGAGTTAAATGGTCTTTGACAAAAGAGCAATGATTATTGAATAGAGAAAGGATAATCTTTTTTATTTTATTTTAAAGAGAAAAAAACAAAAGAGGACAGAACAAAGAAAATCAGAACAGAACAATTTAAACAACACAGAACTTCACAACCAGATATTAACAGTAGTTACCATAATGTTTCTTTCTTTGAAGCAGTTGAGCATACCTTCACACACAATAATATCAAACATAATAGGATAGTATAACAATGTTCATGGGAATGAAAGTATTACAGAACATTCAAAACCAAATAACAGAAAGTGAACAATGGCTTCTATAATATCTCATTTTCCATAAAAAATTTGTTTATACATCACACACATTAAAATCCAACAAGACACAACATGATTGAACCAATGGAAATAGAAGAACAAAAACATGGTAGTTCTTCAAAGCAAGATGATATTAAATCAGCAATGGCTGCCACAATGTCTTGTTTTCTTCAAAGTAGCTGTTCACACTATCACACATAATAAAATCAAACAAAACAGAATACAACCATTCCAACTAATGAAGGAAAATATTATAAGTCTTCAAAGCAATGTAATAGGGAACCATGATTACCATAAAATCTTATGTACTCATCATTTCTTATACTAGGGAGACTATACAGTATTTATACATGTGAGTTTGATTTATTTCACTTATGAGTATGGTCTCAAGTTGTGTCCATTTATTTATAAATATCTCAATGTGTTCATTCATTAGAGCTGAACAGTACTCCATTCTATAAAAATACCATAACTTTTTTATCCATTCCTCAGTTGATGGGCACTTGGGTTGTTTCCAAGATCTGGCCATTACAAATTGTGCTGCTATAAACATGAGTGCACATATATATCACTGTGGTATGATGTTTTCAGTTCTTCTAGGAATATGCCTAGAAGTGGAATAGCTGGGTAAAATGGGACTTCCAATCCCAGCTTTTTGAGGAATCTCCAGACTGACCCGCACAGTGGTTGCACCAGTCTGCACTCCCACCAACAGTGCAGGAGAGTTCCTTTTTCCCCACAGCCTCTCCAGCATTTATTGTGGGTAGATTTCTTTATCCTGGCCATTCTTTCTGGAATGAGGTGGAATTCAGTGCTGTTTTAATTTGCATTTCTCTAATGACCAATGATGCTGAACATTTTTTCATGTATATATTTGCCATTTGTATTTCTTCATCTGAGAAATATGTCTTCATCTCACATGCCCATTTTTGAAGTGGGTCTTTAAATATTGGGGATCTTATTTTTTAAAAATTTATATATTCTAGAAAGAAGTCCTTTGTCTGAGGGACCATTCACTAAGATTTTTTCCCCCAATTTACAGATTTTCTTTCAGCTACCCAGAGATTTCTTTCAACATGCAAAAACACTTTAATAGGATGTGATCCCAGTTATTAATTCTGGGAAGTATTTCCTGTGCAGTTTGATTCTTGTTCATGAATTCTCTACCTACCCCTATGTCTTCAAGATTTTTTCCTGCTTTGTCTTCCAATAGATTTAGTGTTTCATTTTAATATTTAGATCTTTGGTCCATTTAGACTTTAGTTTAGTACATGGTGATAGGCATGAGTCTAGTTTTAGTTTTTGGGATATGGAGAGCCAATCTCTCCAGCACCATTTATTAAAGAGACTATTGTTTTTCCAGTGAATGTGTTTGGCCCTTTTATCAAAGATAAGGTGGTTGAGTGTGTTTGTAGTTGTAATTGCATCTTCTAATCTATTCCATTGATCTTCAGGTTTGTTTTTATTCCAGTACCATGTTGATTTTATTACAGTAGCTTTGTAGTATAACTTCAAGTCAGGGATTGTGATGCCTCCTTCCTTGTCTTTTCTGCTTAGAATTTCCTTTTGTATTCTAGGTCTCTTCTTGTTCAGATGAATTTTAAGAGTGATTTCTCTAAATCTGAGGTATGCTAGTGGTATTTTGATTGGGATTGCATTGAATCTGTATAACAATTTTGGGAGAATGGCCATTTTCACAGTGTTTGTTCTTTCTATCCATGAACAAGGGATGTCTTGAAAGGGATCCATGAACAAGGGATCCCATTTTCTGAAGTCCTCTTCGATTTCTTTTTTCAGGGTATTATAATTTTACCTAAATAGATCTTTTACTTCTTTCATTAGGTTAATTCCTAAGCATTTCATTTTCTTGGTGGCTATTGTGAAGGATGTGGCTTCTCTTATTTCTCTCTCAGTGACTTTGTTGTTAGTGTATAAGAATGCTATTGATTTCTGAATATTGACTACATTGCTGCATTTATTTATTACGGGGGTCTTCTATGTAGAGTATCATGTCATTTGTAAATAATGATAATTTAACTTCTTCTTTTCCTATCTTTTTATTTATTTATTTTTTAAATTTTAATTTGAAAGTAGTAAAAATGCAACAGCACAAGACAAAACAAAGCCAATCGAGACAATGCAATGAAATCGGTACAGAGTTTCACAGTAGGATACTGGGATGGTAGTAATAGGTACTATGGTATATCTCGTTAACTTCACAATAGTTGTTGGGTCAATTAGGTATAGCAAAATCAAACCCAAAAGAGAACATTAGAAAACCAATTAAGAGTATTGAATAGAGCAAAAGAAGCATAGAATAAAATAGTGAAAACAACCTTTGCCTTCAAACAGAAGATAGAAGGAAATCCCTCATATTTTGCTTTACTGCATATGGT